ACCCAAAGCTTCCTAGCATTACGTAAGTAATGAAGAAATATGATATATTTACTCACTATATTGTTGGTGTTGAATGTAGAACATGAAAAAACATATTTTTAATCTGAAATAATATAAATTTATAGCAAAATTAGACACGGCTAAGTGGCATGAGAGGCCATATAGGAAGTCAACAATCGAAGCGACAATGTTGTGGAGTGACTTAACCAAGATGAACAAATTATTCAAGATATATTGTTGCCTAGAGGTTATATTAAGTTATGTTTGGATAGGTCATGTTTAGTTAGGTTAGGTTATGTTTGGGTAGGTTGGTTAGGTTAAGTAGGTACAGGAGGCTAATATGCCAGCAAACATTGTCGCTTGGACTGTCGACTTGCTTTGGCATCACCAGCTTCTTATTTTCGTCTAATTTCATTATAAAATGATACTTTTTCAGAGTAAAAATATGTTTTTCATGTTCTACATTCAGCACCAACATTATAATGAATAAATATATCATATTTATTCATTACTAACATAATGCTAGGAAGCTTTCAGTAGCTTTGAGTAAGTTTGAGTAGCTTTGGGTAAATAGATGGACCCAGATCACATAATAGACCAAAATTTATATTTTGTTCAAGGGTAAATTCACCTATATAGAATGGACAAAATCCTGGTATGAACAGTAACTCCTTTAACATTTCTCTAATCACATGCAAAATACATTTTGCATTAAAGACACTACTAGGCTTGGGGAATTAGTTGAAGGCTTGGATCATTTATCATATTTAAAATCAAATAATATATATTTTTTCATTTTGAGTTGGTGCACTTTATAGTTCCCCTAGGTATGGGCCTGGCTAAATTTGAAAATAAGGTTTCAAGGCTAGGACACACAAGATAAGCTAAGGTGATATCTTGTTACAGGTAAGTTCTCCAGGTAGTTGTTCAATATATGGTGATTTGAAATTTACCTAAAGAGTATGGACAAAATCAGGGTATGAATGGTAACTTACCTACCTACCTACCCAGGCTTTGCGCCCTGGAGAGATTGACAACCAGAGCGCAACTCCATAGTCTCAAGAGACTGAAGGGTGCCTACTGCTGTACAGTACTAGGGTATATCTACATATCTGGATTGGCTTCCCTCTCTACTTTCTGGATATAGAGACATTTACTATATTATTATTATTATTATTATTGTATTATTATTATTATTATTATTATTATTAGTCATTGACCCCATATTTGAACACAGCAAAACAGCCCCAAACAAATTAAAACTGAACTTTCAACAAATTACAAAATTAACTAAAACAAATTCCTAATGTTTTGCTCCAAGTCTTAATACTTCTTGTCATTTGCAGAGTAGTTAACTTAAATTTCCCTGGCAAGTCTATTTTTAATGATGAATATTAATAGAAAACGTTTATTTTAACATCTTGTAATCTTTCATTGACTGCTAAGTCTGGCTCTGCTATCATTACTTTTATGTTGGCAAAACTGAGAGTATTTATAATTTTATTTTCTTTATTTTGCTCCTTACATTTATGTCATGGGTCAATATATTTTTACAGTATTATTATTAGTATTACTAGTACAGTATTATTATTAAAAAATATGTTTGTAAATCATTTAGTTTGGAAAATTGAACAAATGACTGGAACTTCTTATTAACATTTTTCCTTTTAAAAAAGTGATATATTCAGGAAAGCAATGTTAAATATTGGGTCAATGCTATATTGCTGTATTACTGTATTATTATTATTATTTTTATTATATAACTGCAATAATACATTTTTAAATGCTTGGCACAGTTCAAACTGGGACCCCCACAATATCCCAGACCCCCCACGCTACCAGTCCTCCTTGAAGAGACATAAGGTTTAAAACACAAGAATCAACTGATTACATTTGGATCTGTTAAAGTGCCATATGGCACTCCAATTCACAACCGATGTAAACCTCTCTCTCATTCAGAAACGATAACATTGTCCCATACACTCTCATCCATCCACGTGAAGCTCACAATGGCATTAAACAATATATCAGATCTTTGTGTAACTCAAGCAACTCTAATATGTCATAGTCCAACATACTACCACTTCTTCATGAAGAGAAACAAGCGAAATGCTTGTCGTATTAGTGGCTTTAGCATAGTATGCACGGTACTAGCTCTATCTAGAAATCTAACATCCTGTTTATAACTCATTTTGAATGTATGTCCTTTTACCTGAATAAACATTATCATTAAACATTCAAGAATAAACAGGTTTTACCTGGATTTGTGAGATCAGTCAATTCTTTGGTTCTAATTCTTAAATCTCTTCATGGAGGAGTAGTAGCTTGTGAGTTTAGGACACTTTATATCAAGGCACAAAACACTCTTTATAAATGTTCTTATTTACCATCACTGTGAGCTTCATTTGATTTACATTACTCATTAATTTAAAAAACTCTAAATTCAAAACCTTCATACTCATAAATCCTGAGTGTGGCATTCTCAAGCTCTCACATGCATAGTCTACCTTTTGAATAAAAGTGTTGAAAATCTGCTCCTCAAAATTATTTGATAAACTTACGGAATATACAAGTGGTGCTTTAGATTGTTAAAAAGATACAGCATTGAAGGAGAAGCTTTCGTAAAAGATGATAGTCTTTGTTTATTGAAGAGATTCTTGTAATCTTCAGCTCTTCCATCAAAAGAAGTGTCATCTGTATAAACAGCTTCTCCAACAATGTTTTTTTCAACAATTTGTTGCTAGCTTCTGCTCTTCAGATTTCACTAAGTATTTTATAAACTCAAAAAAATCCTTTAGTCAACTCAAAGATAGCAGAGATTGTATCATAATGAGTTAAACTTACTACAGTACAGTATTAATAAGGAAGTGACTACCGTACATAAAAACTTTTGGTCTTATTACCCTTTCATCATAAGATGAAGTAAAAATTAGCACAGCTTTCATATTCATTATTAGATTAATTTTTCATATATGTTTTCTAATAGTGACTAAAATTAGTAGCAATTTTTCCTAAATCTGAATCATGCTAGATAATGGACAGAATATTAAATTTGTTGTCCGCATATTACTAATGTGTATGTGTTTGTGTGTGTGTGTGTGTGTGTGTGTATGAGATTGATGTTTGCAGTGATACTCAAACACATTTTCAGACCCTAATCAGCAGACTGAAATGGATTGTTTTTTATACTGAAACCCACAGTTTAACAACATTTAATTGCCATTCTCATTGCTTACTTTGTTATCATTATCTGGATGCAACTAGTGATTATAGTTATAACTAAAAGAAATGAAAGAATAACCATATTTTAGTTTCTACTATGACACCTTTGCTAAAATCCTATAAATACCTTGCAGTTTCTAATGAAAACAAGTGAGATGCTGATAATTTCTAGTTTAAACTGCAATAATATATTTAAAAATGACATGAAATTATGTGATAGTTATAATACAGGTAATATAAACAAAGATACTAATACTGTACAATATTGCACAATGAAATGGAAACTGAGCAAAAGCAACATTCATTACAACAGATTTAGAGCATCATTAAAATAGTCAGACTCAGAACTTTAGATTGCACTGTGGTGTTGCTTGTGGTCTCACATAAATAGTGCCAAGCTGAGAGGGCTAAATCAGTTTGCCATGCTACATATGTAGGCTACTAAAATTTAGTTATTCCAAATATTTATGAAGAGGTTTCATTATAATCCCTCCTCTAGCAAATACTGACATAATACATTAACTTAAATTTTTTACAGTACAAGCAACAGCGAGTGGTCATGAATATCTAACACGAAACTATCTGTATCTGGAAAGTACAGAGACAATAAATCCCCTGAAGAATGTTGACTGTCAAGTTTATGGTAAATCACCCACTGCTTGTATATGAATGTATAGATAAATGTTGTGAGTGTGCATTGTATGTGTCGGGACATTACACAGGTTTATTGGGAACTTAATGGACTTTCATAACGCACAAGTATCTGGTCAACTTTCCACAGAGGTTGCATGGAAAATATTTCAGTGTAAACATCTGGGGGTTTTGTTGATGCTTCAGTCCAGCAAAAGGTCAACAGACAATCCATGTGCACATACGGATGGCTGGAGCATCATGTAGTATGGGTCCCAAGCCATATTCACTGTGGGTGGTGGGGCTTAAGCAAGGTGGAGTGTTCAGACTCTTGCAAAACAAGTATGGATTTAGTAGCATTATAGGCATAGGCTCAAAATCAAAATAATTAGCTCAAGAGTTAAAAAGAACATCCATACAGAGATGCAAATGAAATACACATAAGCAGCCATGGTTACACAATATGAATAACCATTTAAACGAGCTCATAACTTTTCCTTAGTACAGTATGCAGTTTATATCGGTTTATGAAAAAATAAGTAAATAAATAAACTGGCAAGCAAACCATCTAATAAAGTCATTCTCTTGAAGTTAAACGGAACATAATATTTCTTAGTGTAATAAAGGCAGAGTCGAAAACAGTCTACCTTTCCTAAACACACCTTTATCATTCCGATGCGACAAGATACTGTGGCCGCGTTCATATGACCGAGAGGAGTATAAGAGTATTGGGCTTGAACAAACCAATAGGTGCAATGGATCCTGAATCAAGCCAGCTAAGAGGAAAATAAAAGTCTTCACTACCTCCGAATCAGTCCAGAGTAAACGAAATAATGAAATGGAAAAATGAAGACATGCATATGAAAGAATTCAGAAATGATAGTGAATTTGTGTTAATAAATATACTGATAACAGTAATTGGAATAATGATATTATCATTATCATTACTATTATAGTAATGGCAATTACAATAATAGTAATAATAACAATAATAATATAAAATTAAAACGATAATATGATTATGATAATAATAATAACAGTGAAAATCAGCATAAAAAGATTCATATTTACGAAGCAGCACTGGAGGTGAATAAGATGGGACAGGGAAAAGAGGGGGAAAAGTTGTATATAGGAAAATTGTTCAGTACCTTGACACGTTCTAAGTCTACAGAGTTAAACATTGTCCCTTGAAAGAACTCAACGCATGTGGAATTTCGCTTCAACAATCCCTCAAATTCCAGATCGGGCTCGTTCCTGCAAAAGTTTTCCATTAAACGTTTGAAAGTGGCTGAATATAATTAAAATAAAAAAATAAAAATTCGGAAAGCGAACGAAATCAGTCCATGTTCTCTGGAATCAGGTGCAACTTGGAGCAAGCTAAAGCAATGAGTTTCTCCATAACACATGGTCACTCACCATTTGACAAAAGAATATATAAAAAGTGACATATTATTAACTTATTCTATTATTCATGACAGAATCTAGAAACAAGCGGGAAGAAAACAAAAATTTGAATAATGGTGAATTGTCTATAAAATATTTAGTGGCCATATTCTGGATTATATAATTATGCAATTCTTTCATTTAAAAATTCAAATACGATATGTGAAGCCTAAGCGAGGTAAAAAAGTTATATTCAGCAATCAAGCAAGTCATTTTCAAAAACGATAGTTGAAATAAAAATATAAAACAAAATCAGACTACAAATTCTTGTTTTAAGGGACACACACATTAAATGACTGTCACTTGTGTGAAGCTTTCTCAGGTAAGCTCCAAATTAAAAAAAACTCCTGAAAGCTTTAGTTGCTTTCCTGCGCATTATTACAAAAAATTAGCACCATGTCAGGTGCATCAACATCCATTTACTCATGCCTGTGAGAGCAATCATTGATTCTGTGCAAAATTTCAAGAACTTTCATGGCACAGGAAGATATTTGTGCTGAGAAATCTATTACAAATAGTCTACTTCAAAATTAATTCTAATAATTTGACGATTTCAATATTTCTTCATCTCACTATAGCCAAACTAAAATTATTAGAATTTATTTTTTCCATACATCAAAATTAAATGCTTTTCGATACAGATTGAAGTAAGGATCTTTTTTATGCACACCAGAAAATCGACTTAATAACAGGTATTTATAAATAACTTGTATTTATATTATATTATATATATATATATATATATATATATATATATATATACCTAATAGCCAGAACGCACTAGCCTACTATTCAAGGCCCGATTTGCCTAATAAGCCAAGTTTTCATGAATTAATGTTTTTTCGTCTACCTAACCTACCTAACCTAACCTAACCTAGCTTTTTTTGGCTACCTAACCTAACCTTACCTATAAATATAGGTTAGGTAGGTTAGGTAGGGTAATTTTAACTCCAATAAAAAAAGTTGACCTCATACATAGAGAAAAGGGTTGCTTTATCATTTCATAAGAAAAAAATTATAGTAAATATATTAATTCAGGAAAACTTGGCTTATTAGGCAAATCGGGCCTTGAATAGTATGAGAAGTATTCTGGCTATATACGACATATATATATATATATATATATATATATATATATATATATATATATATATATATATATATATATATATATATATATATATATATACACAGTATATATATACACAGTATATATATATACCAGTATATAAAGTATGTATGTATATATACTCAAACAGGATAACATCATCAGCATATGGGATGCTGGCAAATATAAGAGCATCGTTTAGGAACCTGAATCAGGACTCTTGCAAAGCAATCTACACAACATTTGTTTGACCAATACAGGAAGAAACCTCACTGATATGGAATCCAACCTTGTGAAACAAAGTCAAAATTGAAAAAGCACAGAGATTTGCAACAAGATTAGTGCCAGAGCTAAGAGGGCTAAGCTATGAACAAAGACTAATGGAACTATATCTTACAACCATAAAGGACAGAAGAAACAGAGGGGATATAATAACAACTTACAAGATACTGAGGGGAAAAGATAAGGTGACAAGAATAGTTTCTTCAGACTGAGAGAAAGCAGAACAAGAGGAGACAGGTGAAAGCTGGAAACACAAATGAGCTGAAAAGATGTAAGGATGTATTAGTACCCTGTAAGGGTAGTTAACAAGTGGAATGCTCTACCACAGGAATTTGTGGATGCCACCTCCATCCATAACTTTCAGGCCCGATTCTATAAAGAATTGGAAAGTCCGAGTACTGTAATTAGGCTGCAACACAATATGCACAAGGCTAGTAGGCAGGGCATTAAGAGCTTGACCTCATGCCCCCACAGACATTAATAGAAAAGTACTAATAGGTAAGCACACATGCACACACACACACACACACCTGAAAATTGTATATATCAACATAGATGGAGTGAAATAACAAATATTGGAGCTAAACTATATAATTCAGCCTAAGGTCCCAGATATTGTTACACTAACAGAGGTGAAACTTAAAAGAAAACTTTTTAAATGAGGTCATATTCCAAAGGGGCTACTCAGTTTGGAGACTTGACAAAAAAAAAACTAGGAAGGGTGGTGTAGCTGTGCTGGTAAAAGAACAATTGAACGTAAGAGTCAATAATCGACGACCCATGGGAACTTGACATAATGGCATTGCAGGTTTGGAATCAGGATGATAAAATGATAATCATAAATGCCTACAGCCCACCAACAACCAACACATGGAAAAAGGAGGCATTAGATGACAAATGAGAAAGCCTATAATGGTCATAATAGAGATTATATTAATTAAGAGCAGATAGAGATAAATCATGATGGTTGGTACTGGGGGACTTTAAACTTGAAACAAATAAACTGGGAGGCATACAAAGCAAGAATGTAGGACATTTGGACAGGCAGATTTGTAAACCTCATTCTGGAGACATTCATGAATCAACACGTCAAGTAGGCCACAAGAATAAGGAAAGGGGAAGTTCCGTCAATACTTGATCTAATATTCACCAGGAAAGAAGAGGAGATATTTGACATTCAGTACCTTCCTCCCTTGAGAAAGTGTGATCATGGCCTATTGGAAAATAAATATGCCTTGTGATATAATCTAGAAGAGAATGGGGACACTGAAACAGTTGATAAACTTGGTTTCAAGAGAAAACACAATGGGGGAACTTAACTAATTCTTTAATGAATTTAATTGGAAAGACTTGTTGCTAGTCAAGGAAGTAAATTAGAGGTATGCCAAATTCTGTGATATATACGATGAAGGCATATACATTTTTTATATTAAAACAGAGATGCAGAACCAGGAAACAGGATTGGTTCAACAGAAATAGTGAAAGGGCCAGAGAGGAAAAGACAAGAAAATGTATAATATAGAAAGAGGCCTAACCCCTCAAACATACCAACACTACAAACAAGAAACAAATACACAGCAGTGAGGAGAGAGGCAGAAAAGAACTCTGAGAAAGGGGTAGCGGACAAATGTTAACAGATCCAAGCCTTTTCTATAAATTCATTAAAAGCAAGATGCATTTAAAGGATAAAATTCAGAGATTGAGAATGGGGAACAGATTCACAAAGAAAGAAAAAAAATGTGCAGAACACTGAACGAACAGTTCCAAAGTGTGTTTGTGCAAAATGAGGTTTTCAGAGACCGACACCATACCAATTTCAGAGAACACCATAGAGTATATAGAGGTGTCTCAAGACAAAGTAGAAAATTTACTTAAGGGGCCAGGTAGAAATGAAGCTGTTGGACCAGATGGAGTTTCATCTTGGGTGCTGAGAGAATGTGCAACTGACCTGAGCATCCCACTCTAATTCATATCCCAGACATCTTTATCCATAGGAATCTTGGCAGATATTTGGAAAAAAGCAAATACAGTTCCAATCTACCAAAATGGTAGCTGAGAAGACCCTCTAAATTATAGCCCTGTATCATTAACAAGCGTGGAAGTCAAAACACTTGAAAAAATAGTTAAAACCAAATGGGTAGAACACCTGGAGAGTAATGACATTCCATCATTCCAAGATCATATGTGGAGAAACATCTGGACACTTGGTGAGGACCCATATTAATTGCTATTGTTATTGTACTACCAATATTTCTTGGTGTTTTGTTTAAAGTATCTAATAAAACAATAAAATATTGTTACATATTTTGTACATAAAATTATTTTTTTTTGTGCCAGGGAGGGGGGGGGGGGAAGGGGGATTCGACTACTTATCCAAACACGACTACATATCCAATCACAATTAGGTCAGAGGTGTACGGAAGGGAAAAAGTTGAGTGTACAGTAAACACCAATGACATACCTGCCTGTGAAAATCAAATGAAAACCACCCACCCAAGAAAACCAACCAAACCTGCCTGTGAAAACCGTTCACCCACTCACCTGCAACAACCAACCCTTCATCTATGACAAACAAATATCCACCCACCCATGACGACCGCTGCCACCCATGTCAATGTCCTTCACCAAACGTTGATCACCAATAACCCACCCACCAACTTACCTGTGATGAAAGCTACCACCCACACACAAACCAGCCCATGATGAAAGCTACCAACAATTCATCCACATTAACCACTCCCAACTCACTCACCCAAACAACTACTGCTTCTACCCACCCAAATGATGATTGTAGCCACCTATCCACACATCCACTCACCCAAACGAGACAGCAACCATCCACCCACTCAAGCAACAACTGTTGCAACCCACCCATGTGGGTATCGAGTGTTAAAAATAGCAATGTTTGTTTACAGTATCACACATGTTCACAGAAACTAAAACAAATAAACATATCGCCATACATCCCGACCACATTCTCCCTTAAATCTAGCAACGAATTCATCAAAACTCTTAAAATGAGAGAATCGTACAGGATCTTAGTTTTCCTTGACATTGAAAAGTCTGTTCACTAATGTATCAATGGAAAGGGACATCGTCATAATACTAGACATGTATCAACAAAAGCACATCCGTGTACTCATAGTATCTCGAGCGATCTTAAGCGATATGCCAAAGGCCTGCTCCACCGAAACTCCTTTTCTGGGCCAGAGGGTAAGCTTTATGTGTAGGTTGATAGTGTGGCAATAGGATGTCCACATTATGGGGTCTTGTTTGCACAGGCACTTCTATTACATGTTGAGTCTCAGTATGTACTATACATATGTCGATGAAATATTTGTATGTGTTGACGACAAAAACACATTGGGAGAGAGGCTATGCAGCAAATTTTGAGAAATCTCAGACGTAAGGTTCACTGTTG